CGCCGGCCCTGGGGCTGCAGCGGCGCATCATCTGTCGCGGGAAGGAGGGAGGGATGGGGCCTGCGTCCTTAAGAAGGATGGTGCGATGTGTGGAAGAAGGCGAGGCAAGATGAGTGATTATAAGGTGAGTGTGCTATGAGAAAGGTTTTTCTCTTCTGATGTTCCCACGGTGGTTTACATGCGGTTTGGGATAGACCCTCCCCTTCCTGCGGGGCTGGGTGCCATGTCCACGTGCACCTTGCAGCTGGTGTGCCGCGTTCGGCATTAGGAGACAAAAGTCCTTAAAGCCTCGTGCAGGTAAAAAGAAGGCAAGGATGGCCCTCCCTTTGCTGGTGCAGTCTCTCCAACTTGGGGTGCTACCCTAAGTTCTCTAAGTTAGAAGAAGGTGTCCCCCTTCTTTTGAAGAAATAAACAAGAACTGTTTCTTTAAAGCAACTGTTGGTTGTTAAAACAGACTTATTAAAAAGCAGAATTTCTTTCAGACAGCAAAAGCTTCCTCCTGTCAGCACACTTACTTCTATTATGTCCAAGGTTAAGCCAGTGTAGTGGAGTCCATTAACATAAGAGCAGGCTTTTGTATAGTCAAATGCTGTCAGTTCCTGAATTTTTGAGAGATTCACTCATGAAGGATGTAAAAATAATATAGAAACATAATTGCAACATTGTGCTAAAATTTGGAATCGTGGTATTTGTATCGTGAAAACCAGAAGTAGGTTGATTCATTGACTTTTTATAGAAATATCAGTGAGGTTTTTGGCTGTTTCATTAGTAAATGGCTTCTTACACGTGAGGAAATGGTTATGAAAACTTTTGTCACTAATAATAGCAGCTGAACTTGTAAGTAACAGCATTATTAAAAGTCAGGTGTTATAGACATGAATTTTCTTCTGTCTATAATGGTACAGGCTGAAGAAGTCATGTCTCATGCTGAATCATGTTAGCGAAGAACTGCTGGTTTTGGATTGTGACCGTTTTCACAGGTTCATTTCTACCGATGTGGATTGAGGTGCTCATCTGAGCAGCTCAGATGGCAGGCTTGAGGTGGTTTTTGTGCTGCTAGTGGACCTAGGATGAGCACGTAGGGGCTATAGTCTTTATAGACCTGAGTCTCAGTTAGAAGATGAGTGTCTGAAGCCTAAGTGCAAGGGTGTTTGCTCTTTGTGTTTTAGTGTAGTGCAAGTGCTGTTGAGTGTGCATTGTTGGCATACTATCAACAAACACCTGCAGCCATTTTCCACTAAGACTGCCAGCATCACTGTTCCAGGATTATCTAACAGTAAGGAACCAGAGAGAGATGTAGATAATGTCCATAGTGTTAACAGGGCTAACTTGTGATTTCAGAGAGAAGAAACTGCATTGCTTTGCTTATTCTCAAACTCCTCTGACTGAAAGATTTGTGAGCCCCTGAGTAGTGTATCTTTTCAAATAATTCTCACTAGACTTTTATATTATATATAAGTGTGTGATTGTTTGGGGTTTTTTCTATACTACTTAGTGTAAGCCTTGCACTGTGGTGTTATTTCACTTTCGTGCTCTTTTCTGCTCTTCTGAGAAGGAGCTGATTATTTTTCCTCACCTAATTTCTAGTTGCGGTCATGAAGTGGAGCAAGGGGCTGAAGAGTCAGCAGAACTTGAAAGTGGTTAGTTAGGAGGTAGCTGGTGTGGAATATCACTGTTTGTAGCATTTGTTATGATCTCATTGGTTCCATGTGCTTTTCTGTCTTGTTATCAATTTACAGTTCTGTTTTAAGCCAGTCATGGAGGACAGCAGGTGACTTCTCTTCTGTGTGCATCATCAGACTTGATGTTTGCATTCATAGAGCGCCAAATTTTACGTGTTGAAGAAAGTGATATTATGCAAGCTAGATGGGGAGAAAACTTGCATTTCCAGAGTTATGATGAGAAATAAAAAGAAGTACTCTCTGGTTTTAAGTTCCAAGCAGAATTACAGAGCTTGCAAATTGCAACATATTTCTTCTTCTTTTTTTTTTTATGAGCAAATTAAGTCATCAATATGTAAGGCCCTTGTTTAGTAGCTTCACAAGGAATGAGGACAAGTAAAAATATGTATTAAATGAACTGAGCATATATTTTGGGTTTTGTGTAGGCTGTTTGAATGATAAGCTTGAAGTTGTGGTTAACAATCTTGGGCGCATATGTTAATATCTGTGGGTGTTTTATTTGGAAGATGGAGTGGATTCAGAGTGTGAATATGGTGTGTCTGCTCAACTGAGTGTAAAAGCAAATTTAATTTGGATTTTCGCGGGAAAGAAATGAAAATTGAGCAGAAGTTAACCATTGTTCTCTTTTTTTTTTCCAATCAAAGCAGTAATGTCAAAACAGCTAGAAGGAAAGGTACCCATATTCTAGCTTTTATTATTTTGTAACACATTCTTAGACTGTTTTGTTCTTTTAACCGTACACCATAAAGTATTATTTAAAGACTGTTAAATGTAAAATATGACATGTGATGTGGACTTTTCCGTTATTTTGCACAGACGAAAGGAAAAAAGACACAGTCCAATTACAAAGCTTTAGGTATGGCTCCAATGGAAGAAGAAGAGTATTTTAGCGATCCAGTGAAAGACAAACTCTTGGCATTCAAAGCTAATAGGGCGAAGATAAGATATGCTAATACATACAGACTGGAGTCACGCAATCGATTTTAGGATTACTTAGTAAGAGACAAAGCTCAAGCGATACTAATGGTATAGTGTTTTTTAAATTGATGGTGTAATGTTATTGCAAAAGTAGTTTGTCTTGCAAAGATCATGTTAATGGAACAGTGTAAATTGCATAAACTTAAGCATATGCATAAGTCTTTGTGGACTTCAAGTTTTGACACAAAAATATGATATGAATGTGCTCCATTTTGCAAAGTGCAGAAGGCCCTCTGCAAGGTTGTCACTGAGCATGTGCTGTTAAGATGGAGCTGAAGCTTGATAAAATCTTTGCCATTTCTAAATCAAATTGAGCTGTAGCACAGTTCGAAGTACCCTAATCTGCAAAATACCCAGTTACCCAAAGATCCTGACCTTGAATTTATGGAATTCCACTCTTTAAATTATTTCTACTTGTATCACAGCCCTCAAAAATTACACTTGGTGGCTTTGACAGTCTGAATGCCACATAAAAAAATTAAGCAAAAATGAAGGAGGACAATCTGTTGAGATAATATGTAGCTGTTAGTGATATCTCAGATATTATAACCAACTCTTGTAATTCTTCCATCTGTAAAACATGCCTTGGGTATTTGGAACAGGTATTTGTAGCATTGTTTTCCAGCGAACCGAGCTCAACTGATGTGGAAGAATACACTCCTGTTTGTTAAATGGGGATTGGCTGGATGTGTTTGTCACTTTCAACAAATAGATAAAACATTTAAGAGTAAAAATAGTTCAGTCTTTGCTGTTTGAGAGCATCATCTATATTGACTATTCTACTCATTAGTTCTAATGTTCTTGTAATGGGAATGACTGTAAAAGACTTTTTGCAGAAGACTACCAGGATGAAAACGAAGATCTTTTGAAATTGTTTTTGATAGAATAAACTTCAACAAGCCAAATACGATGGAGTTTCTAGTCCCTCCTTGTGTACTTCAGTCTCAGAAGAAATATTAAAGGCTGTGAAGGAATTGGACTTTGACCATTATAAGTACGTTGTATCAGTGCTAATTGTGGAAAAGGCAGGTCAGGCAATGAATGTGAGCAAACAAATTATTATAATATCTTTTACAAATTGAAAATAATCCTTGGAACTGTACATTATCTCCTAAGCCGCTGAATGCAGGTAACACTTAACTGGTTTGAGGTGGTCTTGAAGCCTTTGGGTTCTTTGTGGGGAGTAGTATGCCAGGTGGCAACTTCAGTTACTGCTGTGATTCTACCTAACCCTGTAAAGGTGGTCTTTTTGAGTTAAGTAACAATGGTAAGCAGCCCATGCTATTCTTCCCTGTCAGTTATTTCCGCTGTGCCGGAACGATTACATGACTGGAGGGAATTTTCTTCCTCCAGTGTACTTTGATCTCTAGTTGGGTCATCGTGCTCAATGCAAAATGCTGTGCAGCCCTAAGGTGGGGTGAACTGAAAGGAATGGGTGGTGAGGAAAGAGATGGAAACTCTTTCACCTGCAGATGCCATGTGCTCCAGGGACTACAAATTAACATTAGTGATCTGAAGTTGGAGCACCCAAAACTAAAGTATTCTAGACTTTCCTGTTTGGTATGTAAATGCACGTGTATTGCAAGCTCACATTGGCGTTCAGAACACTATCTTGCTGAGTGCCAGAGAGCACTTCTGTTTAGGAGTGCTTAAAACCTGATGTAACCATACCTGAGTTTAGTAGGTTACATGAAACAATGTTTGGAGGGTTGTCAGCTTCAGTAATGCAGTCTGCGAGGGGCCTGTGTCTGCCCAGGTGTTGTGTTGCAGTACACCGCCTCTGAAGCTGTACTTTGACTGAGGAGCTGTAGGTTAATGTGGATTACTGAAGTGGTCCAAGTTAAACTTATTTTTCAGGAGAAAAAAGTTATTCCAGCAGTCAGTTCACACATTTTAGCTTTGAAAGCTGTTCTGTTAAAAAAGCTGAGGGACCAGTAAATGGTCGCAAGCAGCCTGAAGTAAACTGGAGGTGGAGGGGTGGGGGATGTGACTTCTTAGTTGTATGTGTTCCGAAAATCAGTGTCTACTCACCTTGCTTTTGAAGGGGTGGTGTTACAGTACGCTGAGGTGCTAACAAGTGAATGTCAGAGAACTGAGGTTTTGGTGTAGAGGTACTTGGATCTGTCTGGGTGGGAGTTTTACTGTGAAGCAAGAACACGTTTTAACATTTACTAGCACTTGTTCATTTTCACAGTAATTTTGCAGTTGTTGCTCCTACTTGTAACTCTCATAATGCAATTATGTCAGTATTTACATAATGCTGTGTGTTCTTAAAAAAAAAATAATGAAAACTGACCTGTTTATGGGTTCACAAATAGGTTTTTCTTTTCTTTCCTTTAGGTTGACAGCAGATGGGTCTGGGATGTCCAGAGAGACACTTGGGTTTCAGCTAAATGTGAAACTGAAACATTTATTGCACTGGCTTTGGTAATGGCTTGTTATTAGGAGTAATACTGTCAAACCCACAACTGGTCTTGTGCATCACAGTACCTGGGTATATTTGAAATTTGTCAGAACGTCATTATTTCAGTACTAATTTTTGTCCTAATGCCGTTGGCACGTTGAAATTGACATGGAGTTGGGATAACTGCTCATTTTTCTGTTAAAAAACCAAACCAAAAAAAAAACCACCAACCCGCTTTTGAAATGTGTGTGGTTGAGTACATATGGGCTTCATCTGTCGCGGGGCTGTGCTGTGGAAGTTGGAGCAGCTGGTGTAACTCTGCAAGATTTTGAATGTTGCTTGTCTGTTGCATGCCCAGAGTTGTTAATGTTTACAATAAACTGCAGGTATCGGTATTCTTCAGAGCACGCCCTTTGCAAGAAAGGGCAGCGTTCAGGTTTTTTTCTAGTGGGATCTTTGATAAAATAACAGTTTGTGTAGAAATGTTGCTGGGAGGGAAGCCATCTTTAGCACACTTAGAAATCTGTGTCGATTTCCAAGCGTGAGTTCATTCATCGGCTTCCCTGGGCGGTCTGAGTTCGGGCTGTCTTCAAGGCCAGGCTGGAAGGGGCTTTGAGCAACCTGGTCCAGTGGAAGGTGTCCCTGCCCATGGCAGGGGGGTTGGAACTAGATGGTCTTTAAGGTCCCTTCCAACCCAAACCGTTCGTTCTGTGACTCTGTCAAGTGCAGGGTTGGGTGAGCCTGATGGATGCGGTAGTGTGGCTTCTGGCGGCCAGGGCAGGAGGGCAGCGGGGTGGGTGGCGACTGGCTGGTCAGTGGCAAGGCCAGCAATGAGGCTGGTCTGAAAACAGGACTCTGGCAGATCTGTGAAGCGTGTAGACGTCTGCTTGTGGAAGTGCCCAGTGTGGAAATCGGGCCTTTTCCGTGACACTCGCATTGTTTGGAGCTGGAAACAAACGCGTGCCCGCACGAACGTGAAAGGGGTGGGAGAGTGCTGCCCCCGAGCGCCCCTTGGCGTGGTCGGGTCCGAGCGTGTTTGGAGTGGCGTACGGGGCCAAGGGCGAGGTCCGGGGAGCGGGCGGGCGCACCCCCGCAGCGCGG